TGATTCAGTACCTCAAACTCGGGAGGATGAAAATAAGGAGAAGGTCTGAGTACAGCTGCCAAGCAATTTGAAGCCGCACTTATAAACGTCATGAGTATTTTGACGATATTGTGGGAGCCACGACAGATGGCAGTCCTCCAAACCCTGACTCTTTCGGTCTGGCCATAAATTAACGTGCGGTAGTTCTACTTTTAGTTATGATGGCTGCTTCGATCCCTGCCTCTGTCCCTCTCCCTCTCCCTGTTTCCCCCCCTCGCATGCATCGGTCAACCGTCCGAGCCTGTCAGTGAACTAGTTTTGGGATTAATCCTCGAAGGCGAGCTGCACACAGGCACAGCAGTAGCTCGCGTTATCTGCCAGCAGTCCGATAGGCGATGGACCAATCAGACCATCTCATCGCAGCACGTCCCGGGAAGGGGGTCAAATCACGACTTAGATCAAAAGGGAACGCGTGAGAAGGCTGGCAACATTTCCAGCCGGCTGACACCTCTGGATCCATCTGTAAACTTCATTGGAGGAACTCTTAAGCGGGATATTTGTACAAGTTCTTAGACAATACCCAAAAAGCACTCAAAGTTGAAAGACATGTCTCTTGAAATCGCATGTCTCACATAGTGTTCGGCAGAGTAAAAACTATTATCCAAGATATTAACGCTTCCGAAGGCCTTAAAATTGACCAACGGTGGTTGAGATCATTTATCTACCTAGACGCTTTATATGAAGGCCTTTTTTGTCCTGATGCGATATTCGTTCGTCTTAAAACCTGAGCACTTGTTGACAGGCCTATCTCCAAGGAGATTTTGATGGAGTTTCCATCGTATTTTGTTTTAGGACGTCATTGCGAAGCTTTACATAGCAATTAAAGAAATTTTATTTTAAAAAGACCTACCATGTCAAACGCTTGCATTTGTTCCTCTTATTTGCCTGTTCTGTGAAGGACATCTTCTCCGAAGAATCCGAGAATTGGTCGGTCTCTGGGCAATTCAGGAAACAGCTAGCCCTGGCACCCGGTTGTTCTACAAAAGTCAACAAAACCGAAGTGGCCGTTAAAGTGTTGCAGGAATAAACTGTGCGACGTGAACTCAACAGGCCAATAACCGAACACAAACGCGGGCAGTTTACGGCTTTTAATCTTGTCACAACGCCGCTCCAGTTTGCAGCGATGGTTCTTTAACTGTTTTAACGCCAAGGCCACGGGTTTCATTGCTGAGCCAACCAACGGGTGATCAGCATCGTAGGGGATTGGTGGCAGCTGGAGACGCTTGGCGCCCAATTTACAGGCATCGATTAGTTCGTCGACATCGTACAGATTCCGGCCTAACCGCAGGATTTGATAAGCAGCATTAAAAATATAGCACTATGAATAGATAATTATGGCTCTTTTCAGTATGGGTAACAAAGCGCAGCAATGCAATTAAATGTACGGGGGTAAAGGTAGTGGAAATGTTAGGATTGGCGTACCGACTGTAAGCGGCAGGTCACTTTCGTCTTGCAAATAGTCATCCGGCATAAATCCATACTCGAGCAGGGCAGTTCGACAGGCACTCCGAATGACCTCTCTGATGAGGTGATGGAATTCCTTCAGACGTATACTGACTTCAGATAGTTGATCGACTTGAGTAGTGAGAAAATCTAGCAAAGTGTAGGTTCTGCCCTGTTCCATTTTGCACAGAGTCATACCGCCGATGGCGTAGCACATTTCGCGTACATTCAGCAGGGCCGGACGTAAGGCTGAGTTGGCAATGAAGAGGTGAGTCTCAAGGAAACGGCGACAGTGCACCATCTTTGCATAGCGGATGACCTTTCGCCAGCGAATAAAGGCCTTCCAGAGACGAAACTTTTTGAAAAGCGGCAACTGAACGGAAAACGTGAATACCATCAGTTACTGCTTATATTTGATCCATAGTATTCGATTAAACTACTTTATTTTACTGAAAATGGTTAAAATATGAGACACGTTTTTGACAAAACAGACATAGATGAGCTAAACTGCTATATATGTCTAAATATTTAGAAACAGAAACGAGCGGGAACCTATCTACTGGCTCCATACAGCAAAAAGTCCGAATGCATGGCAATGGCCATGAATAGGCAATCAATTTACCCGAATTCTCAGTCATGCCAGCTCTGGCATGTATATGTATAGTAGTTGATTATACACCGATCTGTTTTTCAGGATGTAGCCATCCTGGTTGATGTCTCGCGAGCTCAGACCAACCGAGTGTGTTTCGCAAGGCTACTACTAATTTTAATGTTACTACTTAAGTTTCAGTAACATATTTTTATGTTATGTATTGTCGACAAGACATAGGACCCTAGAAGGACCATTTCTAACTCATTTGCCATCGTCAGCTAGGGATTCCCAACTCCAGTGTTGCAGCTGAAATTGCTGCCACACTCGAGTTTCGAACTCGCGTCTCTCCTGTCAGAGGCAAACGCTCTAACAATTGAGCCACAAGTCCGCTGTCTTGTCTTGTCCCGATCTAAAACCGACAAAACCGCGGACTTGTGGCTCAATGGTTAGGGCTTTTGCCTCTTACAGGAGGGACGCGAGTTCAAAACTCGAGTGTCCTATGTCTTGTCGACAATACATGATATATATATTCTCTCAGGAATGTGCGAAA